GTCATGCTTGTTTGAAGGTAATGTGAACATCAGTCATGTGACATGACCAGAACAGGAAGTCTATGTCTTTCCAAAAATAAAGGAGGGGTACGATCAGAGGCAGGCAACCCAGGCATGCAGACTAACGGAGGAGGAAGGCTGGACGGCATCCCAGAAAAGAAATGATCCAAACAATGAACTGAGTCTAAAAGCAAAGGTGTGAGGTCAAAAATAAATGGTGTGTTTTCACAGTGCACATCATCACAGAGAGAGGAGCTTGGACACCAGCTGCTTCAAACTTACTTCCATATTGCTGTCTAGTGATCCTGCACTGCTGCGGCGCCCCCGCTTGCCTGCCCGAGACATGCAATACCACAGATTAGAGATGGACAGCACTCCTGGATCCACTACACACCTTTGACTCTTTGTTTTTTTTTTTTTTTAGTTGGGGGGGGGGCTGCCCTCCCGTCCCACAGGGGGCAGTGCAATGGTTGGTGAGGTATGTGGTGAGCGAGTGAGGGGTGGAACTGTTCTAGAGTCACGCCTTCACTCTGGTTTCTGATTGGCTGCTGATGAGAGCAGTGTGCAAAAGTCTTAGGCATTCACATTTGTCCTGGTTCTTCTGGACGTTTTCGAAAAGGTAAATAAAAAAAGATGAGATTAGGCCTCTGATGGATGGGGCTGGGGGGGGGGCTGTCTGAATATTTCAACAAAAGCTGCAAAAAAGGGGAGTGGGGGGGGGAGGGATCCAGTCGTCTGCATAGTGTGGGGGCTTCTAAGGGGGGGGGCTCTACCCTGGGTGAACAGGTCCATCAGCTGGGGGGGGGGGTAAACTTTTGCACTGTACTGCATATATACGTGTATATATAAAATACTGTATATAAATACTGTATAGTACTCCAAACATGTGGTTTTATCATTGAAAAGATAATCTGTGTCAACTTCTACTTTTTTTTTCCTGCTGTGTCAATGAATGTGGTCAGAGCCTCAGCCTCAGTGAGGTCACAGAGGAGGAGGAGCAGGAGGAGCAGGAGGAGCAGGAGGAGGAGGAGACACATCAAAAGCAGTACAGTGGTGGTCGGACATGGGATGTTACAGGTCTGAACTCTTCTGCTGTCGTTAAGCACACGGAGCCAATGACACATGAACAGAAAAGACCTGATGTGTGTCGGGAAGAAAACACAGTCAGTAACACATGGAGTGGAGGATGGAGGCAGTAAAAAAACAACGGGAACACTGAGGTCACTAACGTGCCACGTCTGGAGTGGAGACAGAACAACAGACGGACAGACTGACAGTCGGACAAACAGTCGAACAGACAGACAGTCGGACTGACAGACAGACAGACGGACAGACGGACACAGAAGGACGGAGGATTCCTACTGGTTCTACCTGACCGTCATATTAGACCCCTCTTAATCTTATCCCCCTGGAGGAGAACAGTTTCTGGTGCTGCCAGCAGGGCGGCAGACTCCTGACTGGATCAGCTGATAACCTGCCACAGTTGTTATCTGTGATGGATGAGATGGATCGGTGCGGCGGCGTCACCACCGACGCTCGCTGATGAGAACGGAAAAACCAAGAACTAAGAGCTGATCAGGTTTGATCAGAGCGCAGACGAACGTGAGAGGAAACACGTCAGGTTTTAGTCCCGGTCCAGTCCAGAAAACCTGACAGTTATTTATGGATCAAACAAACGTGGAGGTAAAAAAAAAAAACAAAAGCTGATGAATGAAAATGTGATGTAAGACTGTCGGAGTTACTCAACAGTGACACCTGCAGGTCAGTTTCATTCCCCTCTGTTTGGACAAATACTAATCTGACTTAAAGGTCCAGTGTGGTCTAATGTTTACACCAGTGAGTCCTGGTCAGGGATTTAAACTGTAAATAAATCAGTGAAAATTCACATTTGTTTCTGTGAAAAAAGAGAGAATGAAGAGACTCCAGTTCAGTGATGATGTGTTCAATGTTCACAGGAAATATTAGGGACGGAACCACACACCACCATACGATACAGGTTTTTTTAAGGACGGAACCACACACCACCATACGATAGGATACAGGTTTGATTTTTTTTTTTTTACGATACAGTTTTATCAGGTTTGTGTTTTAAACCATCTGATCTCCAGACAAACTGTGATCAAATCCACTGATCTCTGTCAGAACTGGTTCAAATCCCATCAACAACTGACACTGGTCTGTGAACCTCAACAACTGACACTGGTCTGTGAACCTCATCACACAGAAACTGGAACATCACCACTGATCTGCTCTGGTTAAACTGGTCTGGTTGACCTGGTTAACTGTCAACATATGAAACAACAACAGAAGAAGAAGAAGAAGAAGAAACAGGAAGTAGAAAGAGTTCCACTGGAGAACACTGTTGGTGTCTGTGGAACCAGTTCTTCCCACGTTCTGTTCCAACACCTGAACGTCTCTCAGCCTACGTAGGACCTGACAACCAACGTTTTTAGAGCATACTGCCACCTACTGGACTGGACTGTGTAGTGACTTTTTGACATAACTCAGTCTCCTCCTCACACCTTCATGTGTGATACGTTTTTTTCGTTGAAACTGATGAGAATTGTCACAGATTTGTATCGGTTTTTAACCCATTCACGATGCGTCGTTACGGCCCTGACAAATGTAAAACTACAGTATTCCCTGATTTCTCAATGACCTGTTGACCTTTAACTGTCACACAAATGTAAAACTACAGTATTCCCTGAAACGATTTCTCACTGACCTGTTGACCTTTAACTGTCACCTTTAACACCTCAGACCTAGTTGCCCCGCCTACTCCTACACACTGGACCTTTAACTTCATCAACATCGACCCTGTGGTCACAACTCCTGGACCGCAGCCCAGTCTGTGGGCCGCATAAAGTCGACCCAAACCTGAAGTTCTTCTGAGACAAAGAACAGACTCAGTCAAACCATCCAGTCATGAGTGACTTACAGGACTTGAACAGGACTTGAACAGGACGACTTCAAATCAATGTATGGTGTCGTGACACAACATTTTGCTATTTTTATCTTCATCATCATCATCATCATCATCATCATCATCATCACAGAGAGGAGGAGGAGGAGGAGGAGAGGAGGAGAACATGTCTCTGTGGAGGGACTGTCTGGTTAAGACTGCTCTGAGGAGGTACCTGCTTCAGAGAGGTCTCGCAGCGAGCTGCTGAGGGCGCTCCTCTTTAGCCCCTCCCCCATGGCGTAGGTGTCGTCCAGACTGGCCCGGTTCATGCTTCCGTTGCCGGTTTCCTTCTTCAGACCGGAGCTCTGGGACATGCTGGGCCTCACCACTCCCTTCTGCTTCTCCAGCTCAGCTGTGGGAAGAAGACGAGAGGAGGATGAGGAGGAGAAGGGTGAGAAGGAGAGGGGAGGGGGAGGAAGGAGAGGGGAGGGGGAGGCCACCTCTCACTAGAGCCTAGAACCGACCCTGGTAGAAAGTACTGAACCTTCAAACCTCCTGAAATCTGTCCTCAAATTATAATTTAGTTTTAATCATTCATTTAGTCTCAAACTGCCTCCCCCTAGGGGATATGTGTAGGTACTGCAGTTGATGAGGCAATCATTTATATATTCAAATATATTAATTAGAGAATACACTGAAATATAATTGAATAATTTTATATAAAACACCGTGGTCATATATTTCGTGTGAAGCGTTATTTTCCGTCTGCGTTGCCAGATCTGAGGAGGTGAAAACAGAAACCGTTTCTATTGTTGCTGA